CCTGATGGTCTTGGTCCATGTGTCCCTACGGCTCCGCATGGGAACCCTGAGTCCTATGAGATTAACAGCTCCGTCCAGGGGATGTAGGGACACATGGGCCTACACCATCGGGCTTGGTTTAACCTCTTTAGTCCAGGGTTGTCGTCCCAAATTTGAGATCCCCCGGCTTGCCATCCCGAGGTTTCCAGCGCCGCTCCCCTCCTCCCCCCATCCCAAAAAAAAAGGGGGTTTGCCACCCCCAGGTTTGTCTCGGCCGGGATTCCCGCTCTCAGAGGGGGGGGGGAGGAGGATTACCATCAGGAGGTGTAGGGACACCTGGGGGGCCAAGGCCATCAGGTTTTGGTTTACTCCCGGTTAGTGCTGCGCAACTTAGTGGTTTGACAGCAGCAGAGGAGGATAAGATAAGAGACATGGGGGTGTGTTGGCAGTTGAGGAGGTGGGAAGGAAAAGTCGCGCAAGGGCGGGGATATTGCGAGGTCACTCTGGTCATTTGCAGGAGGTGGAGAGGGTAGGTGTGAGAGAGAAGGAAACGCAGTTGAGAAGGAGCAAAGAGAGGCAGGATCGAGACATGTTGGTTGCTGCCACAACTTCTTGTTGTTACTTCACAGCTTTTTGTTTTTTTTGTCCTTTTCCCTCGTTCGCCATGCGAGCCATGATATATTAGTTAGGCTAGCGGATAGAGCAGCACAGTGGTCCCTTGGCTCCAATCATTTGCCGTGCACCCAACCTTATGTACCATAGCCCTGACTTCTTTGAAGTTTCTCCCCTTGTATCAAAGTTCCCCTCAGTTTCGTTTTTCCTTGTAGTTTTTCTTCTTTTCATTGGGAGAAAGGAATCCTTACTTACCCCTTAGAAACTTGAAGGGCAACAAGTAAATCGCCATATGTGCCGGACTGCATTTCCCAGCAGTTGAAATTGGTCCCTTTCCAGGCCCGCGAAGAGCAGATCGACCTCCCTTGGGCTAAAGCGCGTGGCAAGCACGACTGTGTGACAAGCAGCATTGCGTGACAACCCCACCCTGAAAGGCTCACCACCTAAAGGGCGTGGTGGTTTTGGGTGGAAAGAAGCACGAGAGCTTGCAGTGACCGATTCACATGCGTGAACGGCATTGGACAACACTGCGGCACGAGTTTCGCCGCAGTTCGAACTCGCCTTTCAGAGCTGTTCGAAGTTCAAACTCTGAGGTGGGAAGGGGAAGGTTGAGGTTTTTGACCTTCGAAGTAAATGATGGGAATGGATCTTCAGGCAGAGTTTCACAGCAGTTCGAACTCGTGGTCTAGAGCAGTTCAAACTCGTCAGCAGGGAAGTTTCTTCAAGATACCCCTCAACGACAACACGCCATGTATCCTTTGCTTTTCAAGGATAATGATAGAGTCTGAGCCTAGAGCAGTTCGAACTCGTCATCTAGAGTAGTTCGAACTTGTAGTTTAGAGCAGTTCGAACTTGTCGTCTAGAGTAGTTCGAACTCGTAGTCTAGAGCAGTTCGAACTTGTAGCATAGCCTAGAGCAGTTCGAACTCGTAGTCTGGAGCAGTTTGCATTCTTAGGTGGAGGGGAGGGCGAGGAGGTGGAATGGTTGGCCTTGGAAGTAGTGATGGGAGAGCAGTGAGTGCAGATGAAGGCAGAGTTTCAGAGCAGTTCGAATTCATTTTCCATTCTTGTGTTCCTACCGATCAAGCTAGACACCTTTCTTTGCTTTGTGTGTTTTGAATTGTTTTTTCTTTCTACAACAATCCTTGTTGAATTTTGGGATGTTGGGAAGAGAAGAAAACTCTTAACTCAATTGGAGAAGTGTTCATAACATCCGAAAGTCATGGTTGGCACTATACCTTTGTCCTTGCTGCTTTTTCGCTGATTGAGCCTCTGTCTTGGAATTGTTGTGGTTCTCTTG